ACACACACACACACACACACACACACACACACACACACACACATTAAGAAACAAAAACTGTTTTTGGCTGTAGCCAGTGACCCACTTTCATGAAATATTTGACAGAACAAAACTGCATTACAAAGGAGTAATGCAGTCTTTGGAGTCTGTTGAGATGGTTTTCTTTGTTTGTTTTTTTTTTTTTTTGGTACTGGGGATTGAACTCAGGTCCTTGCGCTTGCGCAGTAGGCGGCAAAACCACTGAGCTAAATCCCCGGCCCCGAGATGGGTTTTTGATAATAGATATAATTTAAATCACTCATCTCTGTTAATTCTTTCCTAATTCTTTTGTGTTCTCTTCTTTTGAAGGTGTATTTTAATGTAACATTATTTTCTTTAATTTCAAAAGCAAATTATATTGAAAAAATCATGATCATTTAGGATTCCATATGCTTCAGTGGTTTAGGTATATTTATATATCTTTGTTTTCATTTTATCATAAAAAATATGCTTTCACCATTTATTTTATAATTTTGTACAATGTGGTAGAGTGGAAAACATTCTTCCATTAAGGACTTTTATTCATCTCTTTGGCTAAGTTAGGACAAGCTAGGGTGTGGAACTAAAACTCAGGTGAGAACTATCAACTTCATGTGAGAGATTATTGTGTGCCCTGTCTCCAGCCGCTCTCCTGTCTTACCCATCCAGCTCAGACTTGTGCTTTCTCACCTCTCAGTTCAGGTAATCATTGTGAGGCTTTCCTCTAAACTCGAGGCCTAAAACATGCCATCCCCAGCTGGCCAAGGGAGAGATCAAATCTTCTGTGGGAGAGGGAGGACTGCAGTGATTGGTTTAGGGATGGGCACGTGACTCAGCCTAGCCAATAAAATACAGTGTGACTTTTCTGGGATTGCTGGGAAAGAGGCAGGTGTCCTACTGGGGCTTCAGTCCTGGAGAAGGTGATTCTGGAGGAGTAATAAGCCTCTTCCTACCCTGAGGCAAACGAGCTGGAAGCTCTGGGCAGAAATTAGAGGCCTTGGGGGAGCCTGGCTGAAGACATACCTGAGAAATGGAGAGAAACACAACCCCATTGAAATGATTCCAACTGAGCCCCAGGCCAGCCTATATCATTTTATTTTTTAAGCAACATGTTGCCATAGGGCTTTAGCCTATTTGGGTTGTTAGTTTCCCCAGAAGAGAGCCATTGATAGCACCATCCCTTCCACAGCAGTCCTGGAATCTGGGGGCTAGGAATTTGCCAGGAAAAGGTCAGGCATTGGGAAAATTTATCTGAAGACTGGTTATCAGACCTAGGGGTGCCAGGTTCTGCATGGAAGAGGGTGACTTGAAGTTGGTGGCTGCAGAGGGCTGCTAGGACTGCTTCCAGCCTTGCCCCTTCGGGATGTGTCTGTCCTGGGAGTGGGGAACCATACAGGACCTGAAGGTGGGGGGCCACACCCCTTCAGCTGTGACAAGAGGACAGGGAGTCCCATCCTGCAGGAAGGCTGTAGTTAGCTAAAACCTGCTCACTGTATTATATCTCTTCATCGCATGGACACTTCCAGTCTCCTGCTCCATGTGTCCATGAAAGTTAGGAATGTATCCCAAGCACCTTCTTTCCCTTTTCCTGGTGAACACAATAGTGACAGCAAGGGCCTGCGGTGGGGCCAGTATGTTTGAGGCACAGAGCAAGCCTACATGGGAGGAGTAAAGAAATTCCCCTGGGGAGCATGGATTCAGGCATGGTGTGGTTGCAGATGAGCTTTGTAGATAGGGAGCAATAGAGGATTTCCAGTGGAGGAGGCACACATTTTAGCCTCTCTTCTGCTTCTGTAACAGGATATACAGAGTAGATAAATTATAAGCAACAGATATTTATTCAGCTCACAGTCCTACAGGCTGGGAAGTCCAGGATCGAGGGGCTGCACTCAGTGAGAGCCCCCCATCCCACCCCTGGGTCTCAGCAGCCATTTTCCTGTCTCAGATCAGCCTCCCCGGTGCTAGAATTACAGGTATGCACACCACACCTGGCTTGATGAGAGCCTCACTGTGTCACAACAGGGAGGAGAACCCACTCCCGCTTAGTCTATCCCCAAGGTAGAGCCCTCATGACCTCACCACCTCTGAAAGGCCTCACCTCTCGATGCCACAGTAATAGCAATTAACTTCAGCATGAATTTTGGAGGGAACATTCAGACCACAGCAGGACTTATCATCTATTTTCTGCTTTAAAGGATCCCTTGGATCTGAAGTGGTGGTGCATGCCTGTAATCCCAGCTACTTGGGAGGTTGAAGCAGGAAGTTCGTAAATTGGGGCCAGCCTGGGAAATTTAGTGCTTAAAAATGAAAAGAGCCTGAGATACTGCTCAGTGATAGAGGACTCATCTAGCATGCTTGGGGTCCTGGGTTCAGTCCCCAGCACTGGAAAATAAAAAGAACCATTGGCTACTGGGTTGAGGATGAAGTATATGATCTGTCTACCCTGCTAGTCAGTTCATTTCCTGACACAGAGATTGTAACTGTTCTTCATAGCTGCCTCCAGCAACCTGTCCATTGTCTGGCTCAGTGAGACTGTTTACTGACAAAGGAAGGCCTGAGCCCTTGTCTATACCCAGCTATGTATTCACTGTCATTGAATGACCAGAGTCAAAAATTCAACCCAGCTGTCTTAGTTACTTTTTCTTGTTACTGAGACCATCTACCCAACATTCACAAATTAAAAGAGGAAAGATTGGGCCAGGGGATTTAGCTCAGTGGTTTTGCTGCCTGCTACGCAAGCGCAAAGACCTGAGTTTGATCCCCAGTATCAAAAAAAAAAAAAAAAATGAGTACAAAGAGGAAAGATTTATTTCAGCTCAGTTTGTAGAGGTTTTAGTCCATAGGTGGCTGGCTCCAAGGCAGGATGGCATGGCAAAGGGGCAACACAGAGGAGAAACAGTCCATGGCAGGGTAGGCAGAGGGCAGCAAGCAGCGAGCCGCGGAGTAGCTTCTTACTGTCCCTTTATATTTCATCCAGGCTACCTGCCTTTTGGGTGAAGCCACCCACATTCAGGGTGGGGCACCCTTAGTCCCTTAGTCCAAGTATCACACCCTTAGTCCCGGCATCAGACACCCTAATCCAGCCACTTTTGAATCTCCCCACCTATGACCAAATGAGGCTTTGGGAGACATCTAGATACAAGTCACAACACCAGCTTATTGTCAGTTTTCCAAGTAATGGAGAAATGCTGTGGCTCCATGATCTGTCTGTGCAGTCAACTAAAGTACAGATTAGACACAAAATCACAACATTTCCTGAGCTTCCAGTGTGTAACCTAGCTGAGCTCTGTGCAGTGGTCAGCAGGGGCTTAGCACTCATGTAAACTATCTTAGAAACAGTAGGGTGTTAGAGGTTCTCTGTTCAGTCCTAATGATAGGAAAGCAACACACCCCACATATTTCTGGTGTTATGTGGGATAGGTCATGACAGTGGATGTATGTTCCCTCATCTTAACCATCATCTTCCCTTCCTTCTAGGCCCCATCACTGGCTGTGGATATCTTTCACAACAAGAGGAGGTAACTGTGGACTGCAGGCCAAACCCAACCTGTTCTTATACAAGCTGCAAGCTAAGAAGAGTTTTTATATTTTTCAATAGTTAAAAAAAAGTCAAAGAAAACAACATTTTGTGATGTGAAAGTCATACAGAATTCAGATCCTAATGTTCATAAATAAAGTTTTATTTGGATCCAGCTGTTTGTTTACATATGTTATTAGCTGCTTTTGGGCTAAGCAGCACTGAGTAGTTTCAAAAGACTGGCCTAAGGAGCTTGAAATATTTACCAGTTGGCCCTTTGCAGAAGTGGTAGGCTGACCCCTGTTTTATAGTAAGGCCAAAATTTGCTTCCAATGTTGGCATTAATAGCTCACATTGTATGAGTGTGGATTTTCCTGAAGTGAATTACCTTGCATTTTACATGTATTAAAATTCATCAGTCTCTTTTCTGCATGATCCTACCTCTTCATTAGTATCTTCTTAGAGTTGATCACACTTAGCTGTAAACCAGTGAGAACTTCAGGTATCTTTTATCAACCTGGAGGTATCATTCAGGAATATTTTGTTTGGAAGACACAGAAAACACACCTGAGCAGCTTAAACACTAAAGGGAATTTATGACCTCTTATAATGGTGAAGTCTGTGGTTAGGTCTAATTTCAGATGAGGTCTGAGCTGGTGACTCAGTAACATCACCTAGGACCCAGTTGATGCATGCCCGTGCTCAGTCATTACTGGGTTTTCACTGAGTCTCTGCTTGGTGACTCCAGGTTTTTTTCTTGAGGTACTGACTGGTTGTGGAAGTTCTAGATCTTTAACCATATACCAGCTTTTTGCAAAGAGAGGATGTCTCTTTCGCTAGTTCCTGCAGATGTGGCTTTTCCCAGAAGCACCAGCAAGCATCTTCCTGTGTGGCCCTGGCCCTGTGGGCTGCCAGCTGCCCCTAAGCCAAAAACCATGGTCACTAACAGCTCACTCCAACCAGGACCCATTTGCAGGGATAAAGGCAGGCTAACCCCATAAGCACTGCATCGCCAGAGACAAAAAATAAAGGTCTTGTTGGCAGGAAAGGGAGGAGTGGATACTAACAATGAACCAAGAAATGTTTACTGGGAGGAGCACTCCCTGCCTTTTTGTTTGTTTATAAGAACTGATGTATAACTTATGTCCAAGGGCAACTCCCACAGTTATTCAACTTCACCCACAAGTGCCTGTTTATGTCTACCTGTTCTTGCGATGTAAAGGAATCTTTCTGATTTGGCTCTGCTACTAATTAAGTAGCTTTATAAGCTTGGAGAAGTAATTTACTTTTCTGGCCCTCTTTTTTATCTTTATAAAAAGAAAAGGTTAAATAATTCTATGGCAGTTAGTTCCACCAGTTAAGTGAGACTCAATTTGTGGATTTGAGGGTAGCCTGTTCTGAACAACAATAGCACCATGTAATAACAACTGAGCATATAATAAGTGCTCAGCAAATATCTGCTGCATGAATAATGAACATTAGAATTGTTAGATTGCCTGTCTCTTGTGGGATTTTTTTAGCTTTTCTTTCTTTCTTTTTTTTGGTACCAGGGATCAAACTATGCCACTTTGCTACATCCTTGGCCCTGTTAGCTTTTCAAAGTTAGGTGAATGGCATTATTCTAGTGCTCAGGAATCTCTGCAGAGACTGCTCTGTAGAGAAGTGTAACATTAGAGAAGTGTCCTGGGGTGGGAGGCAGGGCAGGAAGTAATTCCAACCCCAAGATAATTGAAGTGTGTGAAACAGGAGAGTGTAGAGCTGAGAAGAAAACAGGCCTCTGAACACATTTCAATACTTCCTGCCACATAAGGACCCCGTCTCAGGATTAGTTTATTAGGTATCAGAATTCGAGATTCTGTGGGTCTCATCTGAGGTTTCCTGGGGGTACTCAGCCTGGACACTAGGATGGCTGTGCTCTTTCCCAGCATGCACTGTCTCATCCTGCCTCTTACCCAACAGCTTGGTCCTTCAGGGAGTGCCCCAGGGTCAGACCCGATGGATACCCAGGCTCTATCGCAGCACTGTCTCTCATGTGCCATTGGCCAAAGGAGGTCATGTGCCCATACCATCAGTGTAGGAGGTGCTGTGGACAGATGCAAAGGCCTGGGTGTAGGTTGAGCATGGTAGGGTAGAGGTTCAGGGTCCCTGGTTGTCAGCCCATGAAAGAGTAGGATGCAGGTGTCATGATCCATGGGCTATGAGAGTGGGCTGTGGAGAGGCCAGGTCAAGAATGGTGATCAGGGCTAGGGATTTAGCTCAGTGGTGCTGGCACCTGCCTTGCAAGCACAAGGTCCTGAGTTCGATCCCTGGTACCAAAAAAAAAAAAAAAAAGAATGGTGACCAGGGCTGGGAATGTGGATCAGCCATAGAACACTTGCCTGACATGTGTGAGGCCCTGAGTTTGGTCCTCAGAAACACACACACACACACATACACACGCACACTCATATGCTTTTATAGCGCTAAGCAGTCACTTAAGGGGAGTGTAGTTTCCCATCATTTGTCCAGCTTGTGGCTCCTATCACATGAACAATTGGTGTCATCTATATCCTAAGGTGCAATGCAAACACAGCTGCAAGCAAAGCCCCCAACCAGACTTTTGCCTTGTAACTTCACCTAAATGTAAATTTTGGAATCACCACTCACCCTATAAATAAAAGGAAATGAGCTCTTGAATCCACGTTGGCTCTTGTGACAATCACTTCCTTTGGTTAAGGTTCACAGAAACTTCTTTCAGACAGTGTGCTCTGGGCTGCGGTCTTCCTCAGGTCTCCTTGTCCTCAGCCTTTGTATGACTCATAGTGCTCTTCTGATCATTTGCTTTTGCAACATGAAAAAAAAATTTATACTTTTTTCCTTGATTAAATTGTGTGTGTGTGTGTGTGTGTGTGTGTGTGTGTGTGTGTGTGCACATGCATGCATGCATTTTACTAGGGCTTGAACCTAGGGCCTTGACACTAAGCTACATCACCCCTCCCTTATTTTGAGACAGGGTCTTACTGAGTTAGTAAGTTGCCCAGGCTGGGTTTCAACCTCCTGCCTCAGCCTCCTTGGGTTCCCAGAGTGCTGGGATTACAGGCATGTGCTGCTACACCCAGTGACACATACACATTTTCAAACATTTCAGACAACACAGACAAGTGCAAAGAAAGGTATAATGACTTTGTATTGTCCAGAGGGTACTACTGTTTATAAATTAGTGAGTGTCCTTCAGGGATCCCTCAGTAAACATATGTGTACAAATGCAAGAAGTAGGGCCGGGGATTTAGCTCAGTGGTTTAGCCACCTGCTGCGCAAGCACAAGGCCCTGAGTTCAATCCCCGGTACCAAAAAAAAAAAAATGCAAGAAGTAGAACTGTGCTGTACCCCAATTTTTTTTTTGGTACTGGGGCAGGTGACGGAACCACTGGGCTAAATCTCCAGCCCCTAGGTACTGGGGATCGAATTTGGGACCTTGTGTTTGCGAGGCAGGCAGTGGAATCACTGAGCTAAATCCCTGGCCCTGTACCCAAATTTTTAAAATTCTATTTCATGAATGTGCAAATTTGTCCAATCTCACATTAACAGATATTGAGGTTTTCCAGTTTTTGCAAGTATGACTGATATTTTGAGATTTTGATTTCAGATATACCCTTGGGGGTTTCTTAGTCTTTCTCCTTAGGACCTATTTCTGTTGTGTTTAAGATGCCATCTGCATAGGATTTTTTTCTGAATTGACCATTCTGATCACAGACATATACAAGGTGTGATAAAAAAATGTCTTGATGGTTTACATTTTAAAAATTAGTACAGTAAAAGCTACATTACCATTAATTCTCCTCAAAATACACTTTGCTTTGAACTCACCCCATTGATCTTGACATTTTCTGAAGCAGTTCTGGAAGTACTCTTTATTGAGTGTCTTTAGTTGTGCTGTTGTAGTTGCCTGAGGTCCTGAGTTGATTCAAAGTGTTTACCTTTCATGATCATTTTGACTTTGAGGAAGAGCCAGAGGTTGCATCGTGCCAGATCTGGTGAAAAGGCTATTGAGGACATATCATAAAATTTTTATTTGACAGAAAGAGCCATACCAGAAGTGATGTATGACATGGAGCATTGTGGTGATGGGAGACAAAACCATTTGCCCATTTTTGGACACAATTTTCTATGCACACTGCTTCTTAAATAATAAACCTTATAATATTCAGCATTCACCATGGTGCTCCTGGGTCCCAACATTTTATGATGGACAACAAACACAATTGACATCACCTTAACATTGGATCTTGATTGACATGATTTTTTCCCATGAAAACTGGGTGTTTCAATTGAAAACTCTGAACCTCATTTTTGGGATCATAACTATGACTCAAGTTTCATCTCCTGTGATAATATTTCTTTTTCAATTTCTTGATACAGGATCTCACTATGTAGTTGAGGCTGACCTTGAACTCACTATGTAGCCCAGGCTGGCTTCCAAATGGCAGCGATCCTCCTGCCTTAGCCTCCAAGTGCTGTGATTACAAATGTACACTATCATGCCTAACACATGATCATATTGGTAGAATCATGATTGCATGAGTCCAATGAATTGTGTTGTTTGTGATCCATGATTTACAGCACAATTTAAAACACACCTTCTCTCGACTCTACCTCACAACTGACTGACTGTGCTTGTCAGGCACTGTTACTAAGGTTCAATGCAATGCCTTTCTGTTGGATGGCACTTGGAAGCAGCATTCACCTTATTCTTGATCACACCTTGTATTTTGTGTAGGACTTCTAATAAGAGTTTCTAAATGGTTTTCAAGTAATTTTTTTTTTTTTGAGATGGGATCTCTATATTGCCCAGGTTGGTCTTGAATTCTTGATCCTCTTGCCTCGGCCTCTGGAGTAGCTGTATTGCAGTGCCTGATACAATGATAGACACTTGAAGGTCTATTTCAACTCTTGCCTTAAAGGTAGCCTGCATTCTGTTGACTGAGAGACCACTTTGGTTGCTGTGATGGGTGTGTGGGCTGGCTATTTCTCTGGCCTGGCTGAGTTGTGTTGTTGTGTGTAACCATAGTTACTAGGCAGCTGGCAATCACCTGCTTCAAGTGCTGTCACACCATTAGCATTTCTAGTCTCTAGGACCCCGGCTGGCCTAGGTGTTCAGTGTGCTGGCTTGAGTGGGCTGAGGTGGGAGTGATGGGA